GTCCTATTTGAACTGTGAATTTGAAAAATACAGTCATATTCCCATTGTGGGCTAAGTTGGTTATCTGTCTCCTGACTTTTTTTTTAATAAGTATCAGCATCACCTTACTCTTCTCCATAAGCAGTGACTCTAGAGATCAGTGTCTGGCCACTGCCCAGGTGCTTTGACGGGCACCATTTTAAGCAAAAATAAAAGACTGTAAGGGAAGATGCACCTGCTTTTTATTTAAGATTTTATATTGCCTCTTCAATGCTTTCTGCTTGCTGACAAGCAAACTTATGACCCACACATCAGCAGCTAGAATTACCTCCTTGTATGTATTTGCTGACTTATCTATTTACCATTTGTCACATACACAGGGGAGTTGACAAATATGATATCTGGTTCTTACTTAATAATTTTGTGAAGCAAGAAATGATTCCATCATTTCTTCTTTGCTTAACTGTTCCTAACTATGGTAATGTGCCAAAAAAAAAGAAAAGAAAAGAAAAAACAGCTCACCACTACTTCCCTTCACTAACACACAAAGTCAATTTCCAGCTGGCAAAAAGAAATGCAATGTTGATCTGGCATGCAATATACTTCATACATTTGACCTTTAATGCACAAAATACTTATATTTGAAATAGAATAAGTTTGTCACAAATCCACATCAGATCAGGAAATACAATTTTTAAGAGTTGATTAATGCTGACTTGGCAGTTTCCTGATTTTTGTATGCATATGTCACAGGCCTAACTCTGTGAAAGCAATGCTGCCAAGTACTTGACTTCCCAAATATGCTCTATTTTTAAACAGCTATCCTCTTGTGGAAAGTCTTTCAATTACATTATGTATAACTAAGCTTTCTGGTTTTGCCTTCAATTTGACAAAGTGTACCAAAGCCAAAATTTGAAAACTTCCTACTACAATGAAATACATTCCAAGTCTTGCCATTTTCATGCTATTGATAATTGCTGTGCCAGAAGTCATCAAACACTGAATTTCCTTCCCACTGTCTGGAAATTCCTGCCCTGAAATACAAGTTCCAGAAAGGGCCTGAAGACTTTTTTGGTACTGATATGTACCAAACTGATTTGTGTGCTTAAAAATTGTCTATTCCCTAACAACAGAAGCAGAAAATAATGAAACTGCTGATATGAGAAACCTTTAATTATGTACTATTTGATCACTTATTTTCAACTTATTTCCTCATCCTCAGTGGCAATACACCTACATCTAAGGGAAGGGTAAAAGCATGAAAAGGGGGAAAGATATCAAGTATGCAGAACTTTTCCAGCCCTTCCTCTTGTGTTATAGGCTGGAATATAAAATATTGGAACTATGGTGATAAAAAAAATTATTTTACAAGGTCCAATTATGCAAGGGATAGGTAGGACATTATTCTTGTGGTACTGTTTCCTTCGGTGACTGGAACATATACAGGCATTAATATTTTTCCCTCAGAGATTAAAAACATTCACATTTACTCCAAGTCTGTTTCAACCAAAATTGGAAGGAACTTTGTTCTGACTTCCATGAAAATTAAACTCTTCACAATATGCTTATCTTGCAAGTTGTCTAGTTGAATGCACAAACCTCTTATATGCCCCGGGGGGGTTAACTCAACTATTTCTGTTCCTATAACACACCATCGCAACTGAGGCCAATAACAGGACGTAAGAGGTAAATGGGAGAGCTATGCAAGTTTACACAACTGAAAAGAAAAAAAAAAGCACTAAGAAAAGAAATTATAATTTCAAGGTTCTAGCAGTTTATTATGAGCTAAACAAACGATAGAACAAATCACAAGTATATATAAATGATTTTGGATGGAAACCTCCACCATTATTTTATCTCAACAGTGTACATATATTTATTTTGAATTTCCAAATTTACCATGCTAGAAATTCCAGGAATAAATCCAAGCATCATGTAATTCAATGAGTTTCTGCAGTAGAGCAAAATATGATGTTCTCCTTGAGAAAAGATGTGCAGAAATCTTAATACTGTTATGTGGATCCAATCTAGTTGAACTGGAACAGTTGTATGACATTTTATTATATCCCAGTGGGTAATATCAAACGTTGGTGTGGAAGATCCCCTCTCAGAAAGTGGAACACACCTCAAGGATAGACAGAATATACATTTTCATAGCATTTGGTTGCTATCTAAACAACAAAGTAAAAGAAAATGTTTCAGATTTCCAAAATATGCTTCCAAAGAATTCCAATTTTCAGAGAGAGCTACACAAGCTGTAAATAACAAACAAGTTTGGGACAAAACTATCAAACCTATCTTTCATCTGAGATGTATGGGTTTTTGAGTAACTATATCAGGTATTTTTTATGTGAAGACCTCAAAAATATCTTTGAGGCCAAGGTGTGGTTGCCCAAACCACAAAAATTAGACTCTTAGGCCACGAATCAAGAAAGCTCTTTAATAACTGCTAAATTACTAAATCAAATAAATATGTTTGATTTGGATCTTCAAAGTCAGGCTCTGGAAATGGAGGCACCCAACAAAGGAAACTCTTTTTGAGAGGACTCTAGTCCAGTAAGTAAGGTATGCATTACAAAGCCTGCCCAGAGGACACCTGGGCAGTTTTGAATTCTGCAGACGCTTTGTAACACTTCAGAGAAATACCCATATATTCTCAGTGTCCAACTGTGGTATAGTGTAAGATAAAACAGCTGCTGCAATGTCTAAGAAAGTTAAAGCACTTTGTTATAGGCCACAGCAATTTGTGCTTAAAAAGCGTAACTCCTGATACTGTATGACTCTCTGTCAAGTTATTCTGATAATGGAAAGGTCAAACAAATTCTAGTGTTGAGTTATACACCTCTTACAGCCCATGGATTCAGATGGAATTAAAGAGGTGTAATTCAGGATAACACTGGGTCTATAATGGCCCCTCAAAATATATGAGGATAATCAGTATCATACGACTATGCTCACCTATTGTATGTAAGGAAATATGACTTTTTTTTAAAATACAAACTTTTCATGCATGTAATATAGGCATCTAATGTTTCTTTGGGTGAAGAAAGAATTTTAAGTTTCCTGTCCTAGCCGGTTCCCCGTATCTCTTTTAATAATATTGACATTAACCCCCAGGAGACAGTCCTTTCCACAGGCCATACCATCAAGGGACTGCCAATCACAGAGCTCCAAACATACGGAAAACTTGTTTTGTCCACAGGATGGAGTCTTTGCACACCAGGTATTAGACAGTTAAAAAGGCTTATAAATCTCCAGTCTACTTTAACCTTGGAAAAATTGAAAGGAAGGAAGACAGAAAGAAAGAGAGAAGAGAGGGAGAGGGAGGAAGGAAGGAAGAGAGGCAGGGAGGGAGGCAGGAAGGGAGGCAGGAAGGAAGGAAGGAAGGAAGGAAGGAAGGAAGGAAGGAAGGAAGGAAGGAAGGAAGGAAGGAAGGAAGGAAGGAAGGAAGGAAGGAAGGAAGGAAGGACAACTCTACAGTAAAAAGCTGAATTCTTTATTTCTTCTCACTAGGCTCAAGAGACACGAGTTCTGCCTGACTAACTCTCTTAGTTGGAGAGAGCAACTGTTGGGAGTTGGAGCAACTCCCAGTTGCTCCATTTTCCCTTTAGTCTTTTCTAATTGCAGTACACACTACGTCCTTCTCAATTCCAGTAAACTGCACTTTGCATCTCACATGCTATCCAGAACAGACAGATGAAAGGATCCAAAATAAAGGCAGAAAATCCCCACCCTTCTCCTAGAAAGAGCTCACAGAGTTTTCTGGACCTTACGTGGCACTTTTGTAGTGCCAGGAGGATAATTACATAATTAATGAAAGTCTGTACATTTTGAGTTCATTTTGTTCTTCTTCTCAATGGATGTAACACAGAAATTTGAGATTTCCTCTCAAACAATTAATTAATTTTTCTAATGAGGACCATACTTCTCCCAGGTAAGGGAAGCTGAAGAGCACTGTGTTCAGAGCCCAGCAGAACAAGCTAAGTGCTGAACAGAGGAACATTGCCAAAGCTGTGGTGAAACTTGTGGCCACTTCATTACAAGAAGACTGAAACGATACTTTTATGAAAGAAAAAAAAAAGAAAAAAAAAGCTGGACATCAGCTGAAGTTCACTAATACTGTGGTTGGATGTAGTGTGTGCAGAGGACATGCTCCAGCTCTGCAGTCCCTGGCTGTATGGAAACACATCCGGACAGCAACACAGGAGATCTGGGTTCAGCCCCTGCCCGGCTCCTGGGTCCGCACACTGAGCAGGGAAGTCAATTAACTTCACTGTGTCTCATTTCTCCAGCTATAAAAATGGAAGCACAAAGTTCCTGTTTCTTTAGGGCTGGAAGGGGCTGTCATAGGAAAATATTTAAAGATGAGAAACAGAAGTCCTTTCCTAAAACTAATATACTTTTAACACAGAAAAAAAAAAAGAGAGGAAAAAAAAGAAAGCTGTTATAATTAAGGAAAAAAATATATATATACACCAACAAAAATGAAATGGTTTATGAAAAAAATCAATAAAAAAAGAAATGAATGGCAAATTTCAAACAGTTTCAAACATTTCAAACAATAATAAATCTATAATCTTGATTCAGTCTTTGTCTCACACATAGGCTGCGATTTCATGAGCAACTTAACCTTATTTACTGCTACTGAGAGCAGCAGTCCTGCCCTCTGTGCTCATGTTTCCAGCTCCCTTGTTTGTGCTGGCATCAGTGCTTGGGCAGCTGTGCGGCTGGACTGAAAATTAATCTCATCAAAAAAAAAAAAAGAAAAAAAAAGATTTTTTTTTCAGCTGAAGCAGCTTCCTGAACTGACAAGCTTGCGCTGACACGGAGAGGGACAGCGATGAATAGCTGAAGGATAAAGCAGAGGGAGGGACAACCTCTTTCAGTGATACCAGGGACTTAAATAGGCTTAACTCAATCATGAAACCACTTCCTCAGTCTTATATCCAATGGCCTCAGGATATTTTTATATCTTTGGTGGGGGAGGCAATCTCCACGCAGAGAGAAGGCCAACAAGTTACTTCCCACAGCTCCTCTCTGGGCAAACGCAGTAAACGCATGGCCAGTGCGTTTGGCCTGGGATAAAACGGAGCTAAGCGACATGGCTTGTACCACGGGGACAGACATTGGCCATAGTCAGGCATCAGGGCAGCATCTCAGGTGCAGCCCTTATGCCCCTTTCGGTAAGAGGCAGGGCTTTCACTTAGCAGAAGGTATAGGATAACCCACAGTTTGAAGCGGATTTTAGAGTTTTTCAATTTTTAAAGTTTACCACATGGGGGGAAAAAGAGATCTTGAACCCAGATTATTATAGAATCATAGAATGCTTAAGGTTGGAAGGGACCTTTAGAGGCCATCTAGTCCAATCCCCCTGCATATGCAAGGACACCTAGAACATGGGACACAGGGTAACATCCAGGCAGGTTTTGAAGATCTCCAGAGAAGGAGACTCTACAACCTCTCTTGGCAACTTGTTCCAGTGCTCTGTCACCCTCACTGTTAAGAAATATTTCCTTAAGTTTCCTTAAGTTTTGGTGCTTCAGTTTGTGGCCATTACCTCTAGTTCTGTCAGTGGCCACCACTGAAAAGAGGCCAGCACCATCCCCTTCAGTGCCTCCATTGAGGTACTGGTACACACTGATCAGGTCTCCTCTCAGCCTTCTCTTCTCCAGGCTGAACAGGCCCAGCTCCCTCAGTCTCTCCTCATAGGGCAGATGTTCCAGGCCCCTGATCATCCTTGTAGCCCTGCGCTGGACTCTCTCCAGCAGCTCCACATCCCTCTTGTACTGTGGAGCCCAGAACTGGACACAATACTCCAGATGCGGCCTCACCAGGGCTGAGTAGAGGGGCAGGATCACCTCCCTCGACCTACTGGAGATGCTCTTCTTAACACACCCCAGGATCCCATTGGCCTTCTTGGCCACAAGGGCACACTGCTGCCTCATGGCCAGCTTGTTGTCTACCATGACACCCAGGTCCCTCTCTGCAGAGCTGCTCTCCAGAAGGTCGGTCCCCAGCCTGTACTGGTGTCTGGGGTTCTTCCTCCCTAAGTGCAGGACCTTGCACTCATCTTTGTTGAATTGCATGAGGTTTCTCACCGCCCAGTTATCCAGTCTGTCCTGGTCCCTCTGGATGGCATCGCAGCCCTCAGGGGTATCGGCAACTCCTCCCAGTTTGGTATCATCAGCAAACTTGCTGAGGGAGCACTCCGTCCCTTCATGCAACACTATTTCTCAATCTCTAGAGAGAACTTAAAACAAGTCTCTAGCCATATTACCTGCATATTCTTTGCAAAACATTCTGTAGTAGAGAGACTATCATTTCATTAAAAGTCAAAACATAATTCAGTAATATCTTTAATTTTTAATGATGTCACTACCACATTTATACTCGAGTCTTGTGTTGACTACATTTCTACTATTCTTCTGTGCTTATGTTAGAAATAAAAGAATAAGAGCACTATCTTTATGTGACTTAAAAAAACACGAACAGCTGAAATGAATCTTCTGTCTATGCTTAAATCAATTAAATAGATCCAGATCTTAGGAAAGTTCTCTAATTATACTTCAATTATTACCCAAGCTTTAAAAAAACAACAGATAGAAAGAGAAAGAAAAAAGCTTCAAGTTATCAGGTGCGTCATCTTCTTTGTTATTACTTAGAATGTGCAATGTTAAAAGACATCCTATGTTAAAAGACACCAAATAATGAGCCAAGTGAGCTGATCATTTTCTTATGATTAAAGTATTTCTCTGAGCAGTAACACTTACTTAAACAGAAATATTCAAAATTTCCTTCTCTGGCTAATTAAAAGCACTCCTTCTGATTAAACATGAATCTGAATAATGTTTTCCATTCCTATGCCTCCCTATTCCATTATAAATCAGTACTCTTGAGTGAGTTGAGGCTCTTCTTTTAAGGACTGCCCCTACACTAATTTTATGCTTATAATTTTAAGAGTTCTTAAATATATTAGTCAAGGGAAGCATGATTTGGTCTTTGCACAAAGGCATATAATAGGTGTTTGCCAATTTATTGTTTCTCACAGCTTAATGAGCAGCCGCTTCCATAAAGCCAAATAAATAACATCTTGTGGTGTTGCTGAATAGTCACACGGGCCATTTGGCAACTGGGAGGAAATTGGCTGACCAGGTTCCCGACGCGCATGCTCTTCTGGCCCTCACACAGCAAAGCCTCCGCACAGCCTGCCCTGCAGCTCCCACGGCCTCGAGAGAGCCGCTCCGCTCGGGACAGCGCTGGGATGGCCAGGCCAGCTGCGGATATGAGTTTTCCCTGGATGCTGAGGCCCCTGCTCCACTCAGCACCGTGCCAGGGGCTGTTTTTCAGGGTGGCCCGGGAGCAGGGAGCGGTGACGGAGCAGCCCGCTCGCCCGCGCCCTTCCCTTGCTCCAGATGCCCGGCTCGTGCGCGCGGCCGCGGCAAGAGGCTTTTAATAACCCTTAAGTGGCTCTTGTCATGCAGTTGTTTCTATAAATCAGACTGATGACCTGACAGATGACGAGCAACTTCCCGGGAATTAACAGCAACTCAAAGACCAGGCTATGCTTTAAAATACAGAAAATGAGAGGCAAAAACAGACCAAAAGAAACACACCCCTCCTCCCCAAAGTCCCTCTGCTTGATGAGTATCAGAAAAGGGTTGATGTAAATACCACTAAGTTAACAGACCATCCATACTTTGCCTTTTTTTTAATAAAAATATGCCTATTTTATAAAAATACCAAATGCTTAACTTCCTTAACTGTAAAAAATGCCAACCAAACCCTCCAAAAGTCAAGTCTCGCTGTTTAAACTATCAATAAACCAAACATTTAAAATAATACTTTTGTTTGGCTGCTAGTGTTTGTAAACACTTCTGATGAGTCAGAATTCATTCTAATGTTAAACTAAACTTGTTTATAAGCACATTCTTTTTTTAAAAAATGTTGCTAATATAAATATTTGAACAGATAAAAAAAACAGATTGACTTTGTAGCACCTTTGATTATTTAGTGTACCATTTATTTTTAATTTATAGCAAGATCAAAAGCCTTTGAATTAAAAAAAAAGGCAGAATTAGATACACAGTACATTTTCAAAGCAACTGCTAGTCCATGCGAACAAAAGACCACACCATCAATTCAGCTCTCTGCAAACAGATGTCTGAAGATCCTGGCCTACTAATGAAATCTCTTTTATTTCTGCCTTTGGAACTTTCATTCACTTTATGCACCTTAAGAGATGATTGAGACACACATCTAAGAAATATGATAATTATTACCTTTTATAAAGGACAGAAAGCATGACTATGAATTAGTTTTTAAAATGCCTCCAGCAACCTGAATTAGGATTAACACCTTAGGGCAGGACATTCCTTCTCACAAGAGGCAAAGAAAGAAATTTAAAGAAAAACAGCAGGAAAGCGGCTCCTCCTTTTTGAACTTGCAGCCTAAAAAGTTTTAGGTAATTGTGGAACTAACAGATCATGTTTAATGTCTAAAACGAGATGTGACAGATCAAACGCAGAAGCTGTAAATTACCAGTAATGACAGTAATCTCTTCTTTTCATTTGACTATCAGTATATAAAACCACAAACTCACTGAACACAATAATAACTTAAAGATAGGAATCTAAAGAGACTTGGTCTGTATATTTCTTTGGTTCTCTGGTATACTGTGTTAAGCTGGAAGCGAGAAACATGTTTGGTTTTCTCAGCAATACAGATATAAAAAGAGGTTTACGTAAGAGCTAAAACAGTGAATGCCAAAAGATTACATTCCCCAAACTGTGCAGGTACAGAGCCAGGCTTTTGGTAATACAAAAGAGCATTTTGTGCAGGAACACCCACCTGAAGGGAAGCGCTGACGGTGTTTCAGGAGAGCTACCAAAACAAGTGGAAGCTGCCCAAAGGCTGATCTCAATGGTGGTCTGATTTATGCTCCCTGTCTTATCCTAAGCCTCGAGAAAGTATGAAACCATAAATAATATCCAGATCAGTAGATCTAGGACACCCGAGTCTCTGTACTGCAGAGAGCCTATATTGCATATTAATGTTATTCAGAACTCGGGATATGACCTCAGGACCTTTTACAAAGCTTAGTGGCATCATTTTTAAGCCTGCCCTGGTTCACATCTGAAGATTTGTCCTGTTGAGTGACTTCACTCCGATGTGCATCAGTCGTGGGCCAAGGCACTTCTACATGGAAAAGCTTTGGTGAGCACATGGCTACAGGGCTGTAGTGATACCTGCACACTGCAGCTGCTTCCTTTGCTAAAGGTGAACCGCTACACAAGGCTGGGGATCTTTAGATCACTGTAAGTGAAATACTTCACGGTGGCTGTATAACTAAAGTAAAATCATTTTATAATGTAAATGAGGCAAAAAAATCAATGATAACAATACATAACTTATGCTGTAATTAAAATAATAACAACAAGCTGTAAAACCCTGTGCTGTTTCAATCACAACTGCTTCTGCTATGCTTGTGGTGAAGCACTTCTTACACATACTGCGCCTTCAGTGCTCAGTGTTAAAGTCCATAAAAGACAATCAAGACTATACAAAATCAAAACTTTATTCTCTTCCCGCACACGCAACTTTTTTCTTTTTTCTCTCCTGTGGGTGTGTTTGAGAAGCAGTAGTCTCTGAAATCCTTCTACTTTAATCAGAGATCACTGACTGAATGTATGTATCACATCCTTTCCAAGGCACGAATACTGTGACTTTGTTTATGTATTTACCACCACATTCCGCATTTATATAGTTTATGTTGTTCTCTGGGTAACATATCCTTTTTTAACAGATGGTCTAACTTCTCTCTCACCTGTTTTTATTCTTACAACACGCATGGTGCTGTGCAGTCTGTGGCTAGGCTACTGTTGAGTGAGTGGGGACATTTTCTGCAGCTGTGGGAGATCAGCACGTGCCCCGAGGCAATCACACGAAGGGCTTTGGGCCTGCTAAGACTGAGGATCATTGCTTTTCATTGCAAATGCATCCAGACTGGACTTCCCAGGATGGGTTAGATGCTTGCCCATGGGAGAATGAGATGGCTCCAAGAGGAATTTGGAGCAGACAGCAAAGCTGAGCAGGGAGCTGTTGAA